TCAAATAAAATGTTTTCAGCATACACATATGGTATGGGGTTAAATTGAGCCAAACAGATGACTCAGGTAGCAAGCAACTGTAAGAATGCAAAAGTATGACCTAATAAGAGGTTAGTTACCTGAGTTGTCGTGGATAGTAATAGTTAACATTTCAATTGCCTGGAAGGGCTTTTTATCCTGCCCCTTCTGAAATTTAAAAGATATTTAGAACCGTCTCGTTGCATTTAGAGTAAACATAGCAGCAAATTTTTCTCCTTTTAGATAAAAGAATCTCATAAAATAAAAACATAATCAAGATCCTTTGCTTCAGGCCGATGCTGCAGATGCTTAATTCAGGCCGATGCTTAATTCCTACACCCTTTTCTCCCCATAGACTAGATAGCCAAACAGACAGTCTTGACTAAGATTGTAGATTGCAGATGACACAGCCCAGGAGACAGGTACATTATGTATCCTTCTCTCCTGTTGCCTTTCTTTGCATGCCCTGATCATGGGACAATCTCATTCAACCTAGGCCATGTGGCACTCGTCACCCCACCGTCCTACCCTATAAATAAAGAGTGCACTGGATGCCAGCTGGCCATTAGCTCATCAGGTTAGGGTCCCACCTGGTCCCAGCTAGCAAGATTAATCTTGGTCTCTTCTTTGCCTTTGCTTCATCTCCCTCCACTCTCCCTGGCTTCAAACGCTACACTGTGTGGGTCAATGCAATCCTTCCCATAATTCTCCTTTTTCTGTCACTTAAATAAAAGATACATTTTATTTTTCAAAATTAGTAAACTTTATTTTTAAGCAGTTTTCAGTTTCCAGATAAACTGAGTAGAAAGTAGAGAATTCCTAGAAATTCACATTACTATTAACAGGTTGTACTATTGTGGTACATTTATTATAAATGAACCATTATTGATATATTGTTATTAACTAAAGCCCATTTTTAGCAGTTGGGTTCATATTCTGTGTTATATATTTAACAGGTTTTAGATAATAGTATTAACTATCTTTACTGTATCATGCATAACATTTTCACTCTCCTAAATATCTCCTGTGTTACATCTGTTCACCTCTCCTTTCTCTTCAATCCTTGGAAAACACAAATGTTTTTACCTTATAATTTTTCCTTTTAAGGCTGTTATATAGTCTGGATCATATAAAAATTTCTCTTTCTCACTTTATTTTCTTTCACTTAGCAATATGTTTTCCTATCCTTATAGAGTCACAGTTTGATAACTCACTTCACTTTATTGTTGATTAATAGGTTGCATGAATATGTCTATTTTTCCTTTCTCATGTTAAAAGGCTACTATGAATGAGTTAACTATAAGTATTTTCATATTTTTTGTATGGACATATATTTATTACTCATTTGTGCATTAAAGGGTGTGATAGATCACAGTACCATATGGTCTAAAAATGTCTTAATTTTGTACAAAACTGCTAAAGACCTGCAAAAGGACTGCACAATTTTGCAGTTCACCAGCAATGAATGAGAGCTGCTATTACTGTACACCTTGCTGCTGGTATTTGATGTTATCTGTGTTTTGGGTTTTAGCCATAGCAATAAGGTTGTAGCTGTATCATATTTTGCAAATTTGTAACTTCTTTCTGCTATAAGATTTTGAGGATCTTTTTATGTATTTTTTCCAAGAGTATGTTTTCTTTGATGAGGAATCTTATTTTACTGTATTAAAAAAACCTTTGTTTTCTTACTGTTGATTTTTTAAAATTTTGTATATTTTGGATACCAGTAATTTGTTTGGTATACATGTATATTTGGTATACATTTTTTTTAGAATCCATAATTGACTTTATTTTATTTATTAATTTTTTTCTCTCTTTTTATTGAGTTTATTGGTTCATTTTAGGTATACAGCTCAATTACTTTCATCATTGGGATCTTGTACCACATGGTATACATTTTTATTTGGTACTGGGTATCAAACTCAGGACCTTGGGATTGTGAAGCAAGCAGCAGAACTACTGAGCTAAATCCCCAGCCATGGTTTATATTTTTTAAATACTTTTCCCCAACCCATGCTTCACTTTGATTTTTTTTTATTCTTCTAAACAAAGATTAAGTTTTCAAGAAAATAAAGTTAAACATAATGTAGCAATTTAGCTATATATGGAATCAGTGGAGATTCTCTACAATAATAAAGCATTATGTGATTACTACTACTTTACATGACTAAAGCAATTAAATAAGCAATGTAATATTAAATAATTTCTAATTTACTTATGTGAAAATTATCATCTATCATTGAAATAACTTCTGAGAAATATGGTGCTTAGAGGTAGTGTTGATTATTGCTATTGTTTATTAATACAGTTTAAAAAATAAGATGCTTCTAGAATACAAAGTTGCCATAATTATAAATGGTTTAGAGCTATAAGTTCTTTGAATGTGCTCATGATAATCACAGTATTCAAAGTTTTTCATGATCATCATCACAGTTGATGGTAGAAATCTATTGATAAACAGTCTATTCACTATTAAAAAATAAAACTTTAAAAATGCAAAAAAGGTAAATTCAACTTAATTTGTACTAACTCATCAACTTATAGGTTAGTTTTGATCAAGAACTAAGAATACAGCTCTATATATGTAGGGATACTCACCTGTAAGATAATAGGCTGATTTAAGCGAAACAAAAAGATTTATTTTAATATATCTATAGATCATCTCAGTGTGATAGAGTTTGATAGGTGTTGAATAGACTTCCTATTCTTATACAAATGAAAATAATTGTTGCTGTCTGTGGGCTCTATCACCCTCTACTTTTGTGTGCATGTATATCTATTGTTTGGGAGCACTAAAAAAAATGTGCTTATAAGTTATATATGTTAGTTAAGGTTTTTAAAAGTGGGTTAACTTTTCTATTTGTTTTCTTCTTTTGACACACAATAAGAGACAGACAGATATACCCTTTAAAGGTCTCTTGTGAATAAAAATTGAACATTTATGCTTAAAGCCATTGAAAATTTGAGATGATTATAGTAGCTACAATTATTCTAAATGGTACCTCCACAGATTTGGTTGAACTCTGTAGGAACAGAGTGGAAAACTGGCAGCAATAGTGGAAAAGTAAGTCAAAGTGTTAGCCAAATCATATCTATGAACCATTGGGGAAAAGACATTTTCGTTTTCACAGTTGAAGATTAGAAATTATAACTTTGATTGCAACTGGCATTCAACATTGAGAATCGCTGCTTGCTCTGCTGATAGTATTACAGTAGAATGTGGGAAATTGCTACCAATTCTGCAATTCTGGGCATTGGATGGTGCTGGAAAAATGAGTAGGTATCATTTTGGGCATTTATGCCAAGAAGCAATCAGTTTAACATATATTGCAAAGTCATCTTGGAAAGTTAGAGTTACACTAAACCAGTATGCAGCACATTAATTTTGATAAGAGTATTAGCTTCTTATTTCTAGACAGCAAGTTAGTTTTAAATACAAATGACAGAATAAAGTATATTGAGTTATCCTGCCATTTTTCTAGGTCAAGAATTCAATAGTTCAGCTAAATGGTTTTATCTGATCCTCTTACATGGGACCTGGTAGAGGTTTTAGGCTTGACAAAAGCTGGAGGATCTACTCAGAATATGAACAACTCACATGGCTTTTGGCAGGAGGCATCAGTTTAGCACAGTGTGAGGATCTTAATAAGACTACCGAGTGATCCTAGAGAGAGAAACAGGCAGAAGCCAGCATGTCTGCTGTAGCTTATCTTTGTAATTACCTAACATTTCTATTACTTAAAACATCCCCTCCGAGATTGATATTTTGAGGGCTCAGTAGATCACAAGGGCACTGTACACGACTAGATTCACCCACTGATGAGTTCAGTAGCCGGATGTGCTGCTGTGAAGGAAGGCCTGGATGGAAGTGGGTCACCTGGACTGTGACCTGGCAGTGCAATGTATTCTTGTCCCCAGCTCTTTCCTTCTTTTCTCCCTCCCTCCCTCTCTCCCTTCCCCCTTTCCCTCTCCCTCTTTCCCTCTTTTTTTCTCTCTCTCTCCCCTCCCCTCCTTTCTTGGACACTATAGAACGACCATCTTTCTTCCTTCACACCCTTATACCAAGCATTTTTTCTTAAAGCCAGCCAAATTTGGGTCTGAAACCCATTAGAAAGACAATAAACCTCTCCTTCTATAAGGTAAGAATATTGTGTATTGTTTGTCGGTGACGGAACTGTGACTAACATAGTTATTTGTGCCGTACACTGTGACTATCGCTGGGCACGTGGTTTAGAGGCCTTTGGAGCTGGTTTGTGGAAGGAGTTTTGAAAGATGTGGACATACTGCAGGCAAAGCCATTGACTGGCATAAACAGAGTAGGCAGAGATTGATGAGATTTTTATTCAACAGTTAGAACACCATAGTAGTAACAGAAATGCAGAAAGTAATGTCTCTGGAGGTTTTAGTTGGAAATGAGAACAACACTGGCAGTTGGACTCGAGGCCATGTGTGTTACATGCTGGTCAAACATTTGCTTTCATTGTGTGCGAGGCCTGAGACTGCAGGGGCCCGAAATTAAGAGTAATGGTTTATTAACATGGTGAAGGGAATTTCAAAACAGCCTAATGTTCAAGGTGTGGCCCAAATACTGCTACACAGTGAAAATCAAGAGCAAAAAGCATTTGTGAAAAATCTGCAGTTTTATCAGAGAAAGAGCCCTACAGTGTTAGAGCCCTGGAGACCAGGATTGCTGCAAAGATTAGCATGGAAATTTGAGGCATTTAAACATCTTTTCAAATTGTAATCATTCAAAAACAATACAACTATATTATGAACATCACATTTTAAAATATGGGTTATAAAAAACAATAGATTTCTAAATGTAGATAATGATTAGGCATATTACCAATTTCCATTTTCCTTTCAGTATAGTTTATAGCTGAGTTTCTCCAAAAGAGTCTAATACATATTGTAATTGCCAATGTAAATGAGAAAGCAAGGACCTCATAAAAACTGAAGGTTAATAAAAGTGGATAATCATGTTGCTTTCTCCAGCAGCACATATACTAAAATTGGAATGATGCAGAAAAGAATAGCGTGATCCCTGTGCAAGGATAACATTTACATTTGTGAAGCATTCAGTATTTTTATGGAAAAGAGAACTAGAGATTGAGGGAATAGGAGGAAGAGGGGGGGAGAAAAAAGGGATAAAAGTAAATTAAAGAAAAATGGAAATAGAGCTTTGGCAAATGGGAAGGAGAACGAGACTTGGGAAGAGGAAGAGGGAGGGATAGAAGGGGATGAAAAAATTAAGATGCATTATGTACTTGTACAAATTTCCCTATGATAAATGTAATCATTGTGTACTGCAAATGTCATAAAAATATAGACAATCTCCATAAATGAATTCAATTTTTCACAAATACCATCTTTGTGATATTTTTATTGACAATCACATTCAGTAGACAAGCCTAAGCCATAGATTTATTTAGACCTCTATTAACAGCTAAGATCTATTACAGAAAAGTGATTTTTCTGCAGTTATGTAATGCTTTTGAATTTTGTCCTACTCCTCTGCTAGATTGCTTTTTCTCCCAAGAACATCTCTTGGTGTCAGAGGACTGAATTAGTGAATAGATATCTTCTATTCATTTCATTTTGTTGGTGGGTAAATATGTTTAATTGGGGGTCAAGATTCCTAGTGGGGGTTGAGTGAGAGGAATAAGAGACACATACTGAGAAGGAATTTGCTCTACACACTTTAGCTAGGTCATCTTTAGTAGTGCAGAAAACACTCAAACATTCAAAGTTACAAATTCAGATTGTGCCTGTGAATATAACTAAGTTGACACTGAATATCCCTGGGTTTTATTGTACTCATGGGGTGAGAGTAAAGGATTTTTCTGTTGACCAAGAAAATAAAAATGATGGAAAGTCAAATCCTGACAGTTGTTCCTATTCATCTTGATATCTTTATAAGGGAAACAGATAAATATATCAAGAAAGTTATTTATGCTTTATGTTAAGGAAACAAAAATGCATTTCTTCTAAAATAATTCAAATGGTCTCATCTACTCAGAGTGGTTTGAAACATTATTCATTATTAAATATATTGTACTAGGAGCTGAGAATAAAGCAGTAAGACCTGCAGGGCTTCTCCCACCTTGGAGCATACAGCCCATTGGGGTAGAATAGTGAATGAGTGAAATAATACAAGGTAATTTCCCATTGTGCATGTTTTATAAAGGAGAGAATGGAGAGATCCTGGGAAAGATTATGGAGAGAGAACTACTTTGGAGCGGAGAGTATCTTCAAAGTGCTAATATTTATTTGGGTATCTGAAGAATGAAAGGAAGCAATTGATGTAATCGCCAGAGGGAAACACTATTGGCAACTGTTGCTAAGCAAAGCAGGAAAATGTGATTACAATAATTTAAAAGTTTCTGCACAGCAAAGGAATTAATCAACAGACTGAAGGTAGCACTCACAGAATCGAAGAAGTCTTTGCAAACCTCACATCTGATAATGTCCAAAACATATAAGAAACTCAATTTAGTTGCAAGAAAACATGATTTTTAAAATGAGAAATGAACATTGTTTGCATGACATACAGGTACATGGGAAAACGCTGACTAACACTGATCCTCAGGGAAATACAAATTAAAATGGTGAGATTTTAACTCGCAACTTCAGAATTGTTATTATCAAAAGGACAAGAAATAATAAGTGCTGGTGACAATGCGATGAAAAGGGAAATCTTGTTCGCTGTTGGGAAAAATGTCAATCAGTATTACCAATGGAAAAAGTAGTCTGGAGACTCGATTTATACATTCTTGAAAAGAGCAAACAGACTGACCAAGTTCATTCCATGCATAAAACTCTGACTCAAAGGGACTGAACAATCAATGTTTTATTTTCTTCTAACACATCCTTCAAAGGGTATGTAAATTCAAGTAGAGCATTGTTCCCACTAAATTATTTTAAGTATAAGAAGCCTGAGTTAGTTTGGTCAAAGTAGTTTTTTTTCAGAACTTTTTGACAATTTACTCTGGATTTTTGAGTGTGACTATGTGAGTAATGGAATAGGACCCAGTATAACGTATGCTGCGGTATAACTTCAAAAGGCAGATGTCCCTGCCTCACTATCTTTGTTTTCCCTATTTCTGAAAGTAGAAGACAATAATTGAAACAATAACCTCCCCATTTTTCCCTTAAAGAAGTTTTTTAGAAAGTCAAGTACTCCCAGTTTTTGGAGGCTTGAGGGTGAAAAAGGAAAAGCTTTCCTTTGAGAAGTGAGCTCCAGGGCCACTTGCTCAAGAAGCACTTTCTAGGGAACTGGATCCAAGGGATTCATTCCCAGTGTTCAGTCCCATAAGCACTTAACAGTCTCCATAGCCATAACTCAAAGGTACCTGGATACTGCTAGACTTGGCAGCTGACTTTGATGTCATCCCTGCGGTACTGGATTTATAGGCATACAGTATGCAGGAATTTTGAAGTCATGTAGTCTCACACCTAGATTTTAGAAGAAGTCCTGGAAGGTCCAGCAGTTTTCCCTGAGAGGACAATGGATGAAGTTGCAATAATGAAGACAAAGTTATAATGGAGACCTCAAGTTGATGGAGATGCCAAGAAAAAGAATGCATTATTGCTTCTAAATATTTTATTGGTCACACAAACCAACATAAAAAACAATGTGTGGAGAGACTACACAATGACATGATGGTCAAGAGGTAAGAGACATTGGTTGATATTTTGGAAATTGGACAACACAAGAATTGGATTTATTTTGTCATTACACATTTCCCTTTTTAAGTACATAATTGTATCACAGAATCTGTAAATTAAAGTAAAAAGTGTGTATTGTGCTGATTTGTGTAGTACCAAATATGGATCTGAGGTTGATTTTTTAACTGATTTTTTCAGTTCCTCCTTAACTTCCTTCAGTTTTAATGCCCTTTAGGAAGAGCCTAGCTTGATTTTGACTCTTAAAAATGAACGTTGCAAATTTCCATACTTTCATCTTCCCAAAGCATCACCAAGCAAATGGGATAGTACAAGAGAGGTGAGAGCACAAGCTGTGTTTTTCAGTTACCAGGATGATATGCAAAGTGTACTACTTAGAAGCCATCACCTGAGGGAAGGAAATAGAGAATATGCTGTCCAAAAGAAATGATGAACATCCAGGATCAGGTGGTAACCTATATACCCTTGCCTAAAGAAAATATCATATATTAGAGTGATGCAAGCAGAGGAAAGACTCTGTCGTTGAATCACAGTAGATAAGTAAAGTGTGCAAGGACACAAAGAATAAAATGAATGCGGACAAATCGTTTCAGAATTTCAAGGGGAATTATAAAAAGATGTAGTTTTACTTTATATGATAGAATAGATATAATAGAATCTTTGGAAAGATTGAAGTAAACAAGACATTTTAAAAATATTAGAGGAAGGAATGCATTGAGAAAGTGTTATAGATCCTGCCTAGGTGTCCCCTCAAGGCCTCATGCAGTTATAGAATTTAAAGGACACTCTGTGATTACTAAATCAGTACAGATTGGTTTGGCACCACCCTAATTCCAGTAGTCTGCATGAAAAGGAGAAGAAAGACGCTGTTAACGTTTCCTTCTTGGCTTGGCTGTATTCTGCTGCCATGAACTGTCACCCCTCTTCCATGAGCCACCCTGCCTTGGAGGGAGCCAATTATGGACCGAAGCCTCCACAAACTATGAGCTAAATAAAACTTTTCCCTTTTAACTCTGGGGCATCGGGTATTTTGTCCCAGCAAGGAGACTAAAGTAACTAAGACAATAGGAAAATAATGCAATGATAGAGAGAAGAAATAATGGACACTGGGAGTTAATAAGAGAGGGCAGGGACAAGGGGAGAACATGAGAACCAAGACCTGTCATGTAGAGGTACAAGATCCCAGTGATGAATGCAACTGTACTGTATGCCTAAAATGTACCAATAAACTGAATTAAGAAATAATAAGGGAGGATCACATACTAGATATATTCCGATGATAGATTCTAAATAATTTGCTTCTGCATTGGTTGTGAGATGTGAGAGAAAGTTACATCATGAATTAGATGAATTAGACAATTTCATAGGTCAGATCTGGGCATTCCAAAGTTTCGAGGTATGAAAGAGAACGATGCATCAGAACGCAGACTGGGACTGGGAGGGGCGGCGCACTCCTGTAATCCCAGCACTCGGGAGGCTGAGGCAGGAGGATCGCTGTGAGTTCGAGACCAGCCTGAGCTACATAGTGAATTCCAGGTCAGTCTCAACTACATAGTGAGACCCTGTCTCAAAAAAGCAACCCCCGCCAAAGAAAAGGAGACTGGGAGAGAGTAATAGGCGGTAGAATTCAGACAAAGTGGGGTCTTAGTAGCCAGTTGTAGGAAGTGAGTCAAAAGAGTGGAATAATCAGATTGTGCTGAAAGGTTGAATACCATGAGAAGGAAAGAACATCACATTCAGTCACAGTGCTGTCGCCAATGATCTCGACGTGCTTCCTTTTAGAAATGTAGGCAGACTGAAATCCTCATGGATTTCAAAGATGAAAGAGATGAGGAAAAGGTAGCAAGGACCTGTGCTTTGAAGAAGAATAAATAAAGGGACTGTGCCTGTAGAGGGAGGTGAGGTCAAGAGAGGTTTACTTTTTTGCTTGAGAGACAGAATCTTAGAGCTCAAAGCCCAGATAGAAGTGTCTGGGACCTTAATTAGTTTAGGGATTTGAGATAGCTTGTTTTATGGCTTAATTCTGTCTTGTTTTCCTCATGGGGTAGTTGGTCCATAATGAGCTTTTATTCTAACCTGCTAAAACAGAGAAGAAAGATGAAGATTGCTATTATTCAAAAATCACAAGACATCTGCGGTTACATTCTTTAAGAAAATGAATAGATAAATCAGTGATTTAAAAGTCGGGCACAGTGGTGCGTGTCTGTAATTCCAGCACTGGAAAGAGGGATGCCATGTATGAGGCCCGCCTGGGCTACATAGTGAGTTCAATGCCAACTGGAACTACATAATGAGACCCTGTCTCGGTAAAACAGAAAGCAAACAAAACAAAATTCTTTAAAATTAAAGTCATAAAGGTTTTAAAGTGTATTACTGTATTTTTAAACAAATGTTATTTCAGAC